ATTTGACTACTTTTGACTGTATTAATTATTAGTTTTACAAAATAAATCTTAGCGGCTAAATATCACGCTCGGCTCTTATTACCTGAATTTAATTTGAATTTTTTTATATATAGAACCTCTACATATTTATAAATTCATATACTTGCATTACAAAATAAAGCGATGTGAAAAAAGTAATAATATTAAATATTTAATTAATCTATTTTTCTACAATTTTTAAAAATATTCTTGAAAATTTTAAAAATAACCTTGCAACTATATTTAAATATGAAATAATATTTTATATTTGAATATGAAATAAAGTACGATAAAATTATTTTTTGTTAATTTGATCACCAACCTTTCAATTCGAAACTAAATATCGATCAAAAATATACATAAAGTAAAATCTAATAAAATTAAAAGTTAATATAACTTTATGTAAGGTCCCTTTAGAGAAATGGGAGAACTTTAAAGAGATAGGCTCATATATGGGATAAATGAGATTGTAAATAAATGAGAGAACAAAATGTTTATGCAATCAAATACAATTTATTTTGTGGTTTAACATAGTTTGTCCTCTCATTTACCTAACGGTTTTATCCTACTATATGAGCGTATGTAATAATTGCCAGATATCTCTATATGCAACGTACTTATAATGTTTTGCAAAACATCTCAGAGATGATAGCAAAATCTCTAGGAGATGTCTGTGCAAACCTTTCATAAAGGTCTTTGTGACAGAATAGCGGACATTTTCACGCATCAAACAATAAGACATATATGAGACATTTGCGAGATCTTTTTTGTAACGCTTTGCGAAGGTCTCTGAAAAATATTTGTTGAGTTTTGTGCTGTGTGGGCAGTTTACTCGAATAAGTCACGTACACTACCAGATTTTCAGAATGCAGCCTTAGTTATATCTACATTGGTCACGTCGTGTTTTTGGTTGATAAATGCATGTTACAGTTGATAATGACTGCATTCCGATATTTACTACCAGTATTTACTGAAAGTCTTTAGTGTACAGTTGGGGACAGAAAGGTTGTCCGGTTGAGTCCCGGAACGCATCCTATACATTTAATATCTATAGTTATCATGTCAGCAATTACCAATTCTTTTAACATTTCAATATATTTAACATCTTATTTGTCTGCTCTAATATAATCACTACGCAAGCTGTGTGCTCATTAGTGCTCATCCACTTTCAAATGAGATGCATGAGTTCATCGAAATGCATGGCAGTTATAGCCTGTGAATATTTACTGCCAGCTAATTTTAAGATATTTTGCATTATTTAATGTCACAACCACACACACTGAAAAAAAAAATTTTTGGTATTTGCGACTATAATTGCATAATAGTAAAATAATTATGGTAGGGGTTACTATTTTATAGTTATTATCTTTATATAATCATATTTGGCTTGACTTTATTATACATATATGAGACTACATATGTATAAAAAAACGTGTCTTATTCGACATGTATTATCATATATAATTATATATAACTTTGTTTAAAAATGTTTAATTATATATGTTTATATGTAAATGTCGGGTCATCTGATAGGTGGCATCAGTACACAGTATTTAAAATACGACGAATGATGGTATAAGAACAGTATATAAACGACGGAACTGCGCACGACTTGTATCAGTTGTATCGTGGATCGCGGAAGTGGAAGTCCTCTTTTATAATAAAAGTGTGGCACGCTTTTGGATTGATGTAACGTTAATGTAACCTATATAGAATTAAATATAATAATAATTTTATTTAACACAATTTTGTGACTTAATTATACATGATTGTATCAAGAGACACGATAGTATGCACGCGAAGTATACACGCGAAGTGAGACCGCACCGTGACTCTTTTACCCGACGCGATATAACTATACATGTATATTTATATTTGATTAGATACAATAATATTACATTGAATCATATCATATCTGATTACATATGATCACATTTGATTACATAAGATCATCATATCGCGTCAAATTTCATATCTAATTATGGTCAATTATATATGATTTTATATGATTACATAAGTCTATTTTTTCTCGGGTTACATAATTTTCTTAAAAATACCGCGATCTCTATTGTAAATATAGTGCGTGTACACTTAGCGTGAGACACAAGCCTCTCTTAATTGATGTTAAATTATTCATATATACCGCGATTTATTAAGCAGTTGCTTTTCAATCATATTTTTCTTCTTGTTAATACGGTTTTGTCTAAAAACGTTTTATAAAAACATAAGACACGTCTTAAGACAAAAGTGTTCTCTGGAAAAAATGTTCCAAAATAAAAAAATTTTTTTATTAAGAATCAATAAGATGTCAGTGAGAAATCGTATTTTTAACTTTTTTAAAAAGCCAGTTATTCCAGGACACTTTTAAATGATACAAGAAAAAAAATTGTTACAGTTCGGTCGCTGATCGAACAGCCATCACCATTTCGCAGGATGGTGCAGCAAGAGGCGGTGGTAGTAAGGAACGCTGTGAAGAGTTATGGAAAAGGACAACTGGTGCTCGACGGTCTAAATATGACGGTTTCACGGGGCTCCATGTAAGTAACCATATTATTTATCATGTCAATGTAAAAGATTAATCGTCTTCCTACCAATTTCCGCTTCGAGTAAAATGTAAATGAACAATTGGAGTTAATAAAAAAAGTCATCGAGGAGATACTCTCTAGGGAGAGAAAGCAATGCAATGGAGATCGCATTAATGATTAATACTCGCGATTACTCGCGCGATTTTTAATGTCATTCAGCAAACCTATATACAGCGTATCTTTTGCGGTAACCTGATACTAATTTCTTCATCCTTCGATATGTTGGAAATTGCCTCAAACTGTCGTCACGCACTTTTCCGCGTACATTCACCGATTGCTTAAATTGCCGTTGGTTGCAAAATACACGACAAGATAATTGTATAACTTTCTAACGAATGTTCAGATAAGAAAATCTTTCGGGATCTATCAAAATCATTAGAATATTGTTTAAAACTTGTGTCTAATTTCTAAGGTAATTTTATTTATACATTCCATAGCAATGCTTCTCTAACCGCTAGCCAAATACCCATTAATAATTCGTTAGGATTAGGGCTTGTATGAGAAAATAAAAATGTGCTAGGCATATACTTAGCGTTGTGTAATATTAGCCACATACGCGCGCACACATACGCACAAATCTCAAAGTGCACTAGAAAGTTAACAGACAGACTCCGGGACTTGATTTATAATGTCCGAGCCGAAATAAGATTCTTATTTCAATACATGAGTAATATGTAAATCTCGATATGTTCAATGACAATCAGATAGACTAAAGCTATTAGTGTATGACTTAACTCATATAACGATTACACGTGTCGACTTGTCAAAAGATATTTCCTCATAATAAATCAATGTCGAAAATCTCACATTTGCATTCCCTTTTAATTACCTTCTTGTCTGAAATTAAAGTGTCCTGGTAATCGTTTCTGATCCTCTTGTCGACATTTCTACAGATCTATCCGTTGGCAAGACTTCATCGACCGCTTCTAGAATCTCGTCTATCGCTGAGCCACGGTCTGATTTTATCTTCATCCTCTCATTAAAATAATTATGTTTGTCAGCGATTTCTTTTGCTGATATTTGTCTATTTTTTTTAATATATTCCTTGTTTTCATTCGAAGGAACGAGAAGTGTTCTTCGAGTCTTTAGGATGTCCGTTACGTTTATCAAGGATCCATGCATAGCGTCCGTTCCCATAGGTTTCGGTTGATCAGTCTCTTGCAACGTGTCTATAGCGTTCTCACTCGGCGAAATTGAGGAAACACTTTCCATTTGGCTAAACCGTTCTCCATCTTTCTTGTCGTGAGGAGTACCTATAAATGTTTTCGACTTCAACGAGGTTTCGTTTTTTATAAAATTTTTATTCCTAAGTGCTTTCATTTTAGAAAATAATGTACTATTAATGATAGAATTACCGGATACGTTAAATTTTTGATTAATTGGAATTTTAACAGTAGTGGGAATTTTACCCTTGATATCGTTTTTGTTACGTTTTAATAATTCCGGATGATTCGTAACTTGAGTTATTTCTTCTATAGACGTGATATAATCACTCCGTGTATTTTCCCAAGATATATCTTCATTCTTTTCAGTCTGGCTAGCTTCATTAAGATTTCCTTTATTCCGTTCAGTTAAGGTTTCTTCTTCAATCTCAATTTTCAGCGTTTCTCCGGTGTTCGAAATAATGTCGCTTCTATCTTCCGGAATATATTTATTGTCTTTCGATTCCCCACGCTGTCGTTGATTATCTGCTAAATTGTCTAAAATGAGTTCAACTTGTCTTTGTAAATTCAAGAGTCTCCATTTTGAGATGTAATCGAGATCGTCGTGCAATTGTCGCCATTTCATATCAAACAATTTGATTAGCCAGAATATGGCGTGTTGAACTGACTTGGCGAACTCAAGAGACAGCTCATTTCTCGAGAGAAATCTCTCCATTTCCAATGCAAATTCGGGGTTAGAGAGCATCCAAGACAATGCAAAATTGTTTTTATCGAGATTCATTAAATCCTGATATTCTTGGAGTACATGACGCAAAATTTCATAGTCAATTGAATTCTGATGAGTTAGTTTCTCATAGTAGCTATCACGCTCTTGCATAGGTAATTTCACGCGCCGCAAAATATCTTCAATGTCACTTCCAGCCTGTATAAGAAGTGTAAAAGTTAATTATTTAAGCGAATAAAAAATTAAAATCAACGTGATAATGCAATTTTTTGATATTGCTAAGTCACGATATTGAAAAGTTAAATCTGCAAAGATCTACTGATTTGTTTATCAAACATGTCGTAATGCCGTGCCCTTTGTGAAATCAGTGTTACACACGATTTGGCAAAGTGTTTCCTTCGGTAAAGATTTTCTTGTGTATATAGGATCTATAGGATTATTCGTCACGTTAGCTTCGAAATCACTCTGTCAAAATTTACCTCTGAAAAAGATCAGATTTATTAACTGAAAAAATGTCCCTCTACTAACAAATTTTTTAAATATCAAGAGTCAATTTTTTTTTTTACAGAAACACCGAGATCTCCACATTATAAATCTTTCTTTATTGCATCAATTTTTGTACATTTTGAATGAAAGATTTCTTAAAATTAAATGCATCTAAAATGAATTGAAATATATATTTTTATTCAAAACAAGTCGTTCTTGTTCGACTCAACTGGCCAGATAATTAATTATCTGGCCAGTTGGGTCGAACAAAAACGACTTGTTTTGAATTTATTTACTAGCGAAGGAAGCTACTATTTATAAATATTTTTATTATTTATTCTCCGAGGTTTAATCCGACAAAAACTTTTCGTCTTTAATCGCGTATAACTAAAAAATTATTGATACGTCGATGTTTTCGCTAGGTAAAAATTGACTGTAAATTGACCAAAGAATTTGTTATTAGAAAGATATTTAGTGATTGTGCACCTAAACATCCTGTATGTCAAAAACAAGTCAACTCACTGAAATAATCCTGTTTAAGATCAATTTCGCCATTAATCTCGATAACTTTCCTCCCCAGATTGATTATCAAATGAACCCACGGTTTCTCCATTCCTTGTAATTTTTCGATCAACTCATCAAGATCATCGCTGACGTTCGATTCGCTCGCGTGCAGATCGATCAACATCATGTTGTCACGTATCATCGGTATCGATCCCTGGACCGGCAAAGAGGAAAAAACTCCTCCCGCGAGTAACAGGATCGCGATGATACTAATGACCAACATGCCGCGGCGAGACTGAAGCGAGTCGCCGGTTTGCTTGATGATTTTATCCGGTGCACCGAACGGCAATCTGTCATCTTTCGTCCTTCATATCGCGATTTCGCGACAATCGCACAGTGGTGCCTAAGAGGGCTCTTTGCAGTTTCTTAATTATTTCGGAGAATGAAATAATCGATTTGTCACTCTTAACTGACATTTCGAGATAAGTATGTAGATATTTAGAATATATTAAGAGAAATTCAAATCGGTGTGTTAACATTAAATAGGTACAGTTAAATATTTTCCAATTTCCCTCAAAATTCGAAGATCTCCGTATTACGTTATATATCGGACGCATATTGACGTCACATAGCGATCTATATCTCATCTTTCTTTAGACGAATTTTCGAAAATTCAGATTCCGTTCATCTAGGCACCACTGTGCGTTGTTAGTAGTCGACCGCTAATTGCTTTTGCCAACGAGTGATCGTTATGTCCGCGCGAATTTAATGATCGAATGCCGTGAGATTGTGTCCAACGCTTTATTAACGGATCGCGCCTGCCATCCGTCGAGACTAATTACAATACCTCGAGGGAAACCATAAATCGCCATTGTTCTTCGACAAAGTGCGAACGTGGGTAGATAAGTTGGCAGATAAGTCAGGATTTCAAAAGGGAATCCATACTGGAGAACGATTATGGCGTCCGTTTATCGCGAGATTAAAGGACGTATTCGCGGTTTTATGGCGTTCGGATATGTGTCGCGTAAACAAAAGTAAAATCTTTCCTTGATGAAACAGATACGGACTGCTGGGGGCCAGTGGATGCGGCAAGACCACGTTGCTGTCCTGCGTCGTCGGGGTTCGTCATCTCGACAGCGGAGAGGTGTGGGTCTTGGGGGGAAATCCGGGCGGCAAGGGCTCCGGAATTCCTGGGCCTCAAGTGGGTTACATGCCGCAGGATATCTCTTTGGTCGGGGAGTTCACCATGAGCGGTGCCCTTTATTACTTCGGCAGGATCAACGGGCTTGACGATGAGGAGATCGGTAGGACATATAGAATGCATATAGGAAAAGAGCACTTGCAGTCATTGTACGCGGAACATCGCATAAATTCTGCGAAGTTTCAGTTTTATTTTTAAATAAACGTCTTTTCTCATTTTCTATTTTGAATTACTCGCGAGATATTTCACTAAGTTACTTCGAAACAACTAACACAGCTTTTTCCTTTATTATTTTTCAGAGACGAGACAGAGGTTCTTTTCGGAGTTGCTTCAACTACCCCCACCAGATCGCATGGTGAAGAATATGAGTGGAGGTCAACAAAGAAGGGTTTCCTTCGCCGCCGCATTGATTCACAGTCCCGAGCTTCTGATTCTAGACGAACCCACTGTGGGCTTGGACCCAATTTTGAGGGAGAAGCAAGTAGATTTTGCTTTCTTTTTAAGCGCGATGAGCAAAGAATAATAAGAAAATGTTTGGACGTACCTTTTCTTTGCAGCATTTGGGCTTACCTGATCGAGATTACGCAAACGGAAGGCATCACTGTGCTGATCACAACGCATTATATCGAGGAGACTAAAGACGCTAGTAAAGTCAGTATCCACATTAGTCTTTCCACTAAATTATTCTTGATAATATCTGTATAAAAAAATTGCGAGAAAAACATCCTGTACGCTCTTGAAACGGGAATTACTTAGAAAACATTTTATTTTGCTCAATGACACACACACACGCACACACACACACACACACACACACACACACACACACACACACAAATTTGATCGTGCTTAATATTGTGCATCTTCAATGCTACGCAGATCGGTTTGATGAGATGTGGTAAATTGTTGGCGGAATCGTCGCCGCAGAAATTACTCGAACAATTTCAATGCTCGTTCTTGGAGGAGGCTTTCCTAAAACTATGCGAGGCTCAGAATGATGCGATCATCTTGAATAAGACTCAGCAATCCAAGCCGGAAGATACCGGCAGCGAGCTGATGAATCAAGACCAAAATAAATACGAACAAACAAAGGTATATATAGAAATAATCTGTACTGTTCTCATTTTCATATAAAATTATGTAAATCTATATTATTTTATAACACAAATAAACCGAATTGTTAAGGGAATCTCGGAGTACAAAACGGTTTCGAGACGTAAAGTTTCGCGATCGAAAAGGTTCAAAGCTTTACTGGCGAAGAACGGCGTCCAATTTTTTCGTTATTACACGTAAGTACTTAACTTATCAGTGATTCAGAAGAGATGCACTTATCAACAAAATAAAATTGCAATTATTTCTATTCCGAATGTTGCCATTTCTTTTACACTATACTTGTATACTATATTTATTTGTATACAGCGTTGAATTGTTATATCCGAAACATTATATTAAAAAAAAATAGAGATTTTCACAATTGTTGCACATTTTATAATAATAATAATAATAATAATAATAATAATAATAACAACAACAACAACACATTCTTTCAGAGGACTAATTTTCGCAATAGTTTTCCCGATACTTCAAGTCGCCGTATTTCTTGGTGGAATTGGTCAAGATCCGAAGGACTTGAAGATTGGGATTGTCAACGATGAAGCCAGCAACTGCGATTACGGAAGTAACTTAGGCAATATTTGGAATGATGAAATCACCTGCCACTTCGGCAACCTTAGCTGTAGGTTCTTGCACAATTTTGACGACTCCATTGCGATAAAGGTATAATGATTTAATGATTTAAAAATTAATAATGTAATGTAAATTAATAATGTGTTTAATGTTCATGATTAAAATCAGCTTTCTGTTTTCTTTATGTCCTCTTTTCTCTTGATTTATTCCATTTAAATATAAGAATATTTACTTCGATACACTGAGAAAAAAAAAAAATTTATTAAGGTGGCTCCTATAATAGCTTTACTTAAAAATTTAATATAATACACATATTTATTTAGAATTAGATATATTTTTATTTAAATTAAGTAAAAATATCTAATTCTAAATAAATATGTGTATTATATTAATTGTAATTAAGCTGTTAGGTGCCATATCTAATAAATTTTTTTTTAATTTAAATATTTTTTTCTCAGTGTATAAACTGAGAGAATGACAGTAATAATAATCATTAACGCTTTTCCTGAAGATTTTTATTAATTACACTTTATGCTTTCAGAAATATTATGACAATGTTTTAGAGGCGAGTCATGATGTACAAAATGGAGAACTCGTAGGTATAATACATTTTAGTCAAAATTTCTCCGAAGCTCTGCAAATACGAGTGGAAATTTCTAATTTCGCGAAGGATTCCGATCTTCTCGCCAGTCAGATTCAAGTTTTCCTCGATATGGGCGGTACGTTATTCATGTGTTACGCAGAACGTTCCACGTAATAATTTAAGAAATTTTATATATAAATTATTTTAAATAAAAAAATATTATTTAGAAAATTACGCAAAAATAGATTCAAGAAATTAAGACTATTTCAAATCCTGAATATGTTAACATAAACGGCGCATAAATAAGGTAAATGTCCCTATGGCCGACACCTATAAGGCCGACCCAACAAAAGAATGGCGTTGTCAAGCGTGACAAAAATAAATTCGATAAAGAGTTTCATACTGGTGGATAGCTTCATCCATGCACTTTCCAAAAATCGTAGGCTCAATCCATTCCGTCAAGTATTTTTCTAGATAGAGAAGAATAAAGGCGCACTAGTGCGTGCCCTCTCTACCGACCAGCTGTGTCCAATTTTGACCGGGCATGTCCCCATTACCGATTACCTTTTTTCAGAGCATGCGAGGCGGAGGTTTCAACCGAAAAGTAAACATAAAAATAAACATAAATCAATGATAAACATGATAAATACACATAAGTCATGAAAAGGTATTTTTATCAAGCCAAACCTGGACGACGACGACGACGACGATGGCGATGACGGTAACGACGGCGACTCTCCGCGCTTGGCAGCGTACGAGTCGCTGCTGAGCTGATAATTGCTCGCGCGTCGCCTGTCCATCCTGAACGAAGGGAAACGCTCGCGGTAACAACGGCTCGCACTGTGCCAGAGCTTACGCACGTAACCGGTACCGTGGACGTGGACGACACGGAGGGCCGCGCCGAGCTCGTGAATCGCCTCCCGCAGGTAACCGAGAACGTGATACGCGTGCGGCGACAGCAGACTGTCGTTGACGAGCAGGCGTTGTATATCAGCACGCACCCACACGTCACACTCAACACCACGGCGCCGCGACTACCGAGATCCCACATAGTACTGCCTCTAAGCGGATAACCTCACCGCAGCCGTCGGCTTCCGCAGCTTCGATGATACTGACGTTTACGTGTATGGTACTGGGGACATGCAGGCGTTTTGCTGTGTCTGACCTCGACCATCGAATAAATAAAAAAAATGACAGTTTTTGACTAATTTTTTTTTTCGAATATGGCAATCAAATTGTAACAAACCATTTAGCGCTCGGATTATTCCTTACAAAAGGATTTTGAACGAAATACGGACTATTTAGGCGACCGACAATTCCTAACCTCACTCTTAAGAATACGCGTGGATGGTGACGTGCGGCAAGAAATGCGAAAAAAAATATATTTAACTATTGTACTTACTCTGCACGTTATAATTATTTTGTACTGCACGAATTCCTGAATTTTTCCACTGCACTAATGAACGTGTTGTTGAATCAGCAGCCTCGTAAACAACGTTTCACGTCAAAAAAGTCGGTAGAGGGAACATGGTCGGCCATGGGGACATTTACCTTAAATAAATTTATTAGATTAGAATAGATACTTTATTTATCCCCAAGGGGTCTTAAAGGGCGTTTTAAACCTACGTACCCAACCCTAAATTAATTTATTGTAAATACTTAATTTACAATGAATTTTGTTACAGATAGACAAATTGGGCTCATAACGCAGAAGAAACTATTTGATCATTTTTTAGAGGTTTATGAGGATATCATGAGGGACTGCAAATATTCGCCAAAATTGGGTACTCCGCCAATCCGAGTAAGTATATTTTAGATTTTGTAATTTTATAATTTTTGAAATCTCTCTCTCTCTCTCTCTTTGTGTAAAACTAAAAGATTAAAGTTTTAATCGTTTTCAGTTTGAAGATCCCATTTATGGTACAACAGACCTCAATTATGCAGATTACATGACACCACCATATATACTAATGTAAGCAAAAATCAAGCTAACATAATAAATAAAATCAATTGCTGTTACTAAATTATTTATAGTTTTATATTATATCTTTGCAGACTCGTATTCTTTTTAGCCACTACAATCTCCACCACCTTGATAATAACAGAGCGATTGGAAGGCGTCTGGGATCGAAGCGTAGTCCAAGGTAATTTATTAATAGAACTCCAAGACTGGTTTATATATCGGCTATTTTTCATCAAAATAATATTAATACAAATATGTGATAGGGGTCAGGACAGAAGAAATCGTGTTGTCTCACATCGTTATTCAGAGCTTCATCATAATCATCCATACCATCATGATACTTCTCTTATTCTTTCCTATATGGGGTTTGGAATGTAAAGGATCGATATTCGTCACAACTGTGCTTATATTTTTAAATGGTTTTAGCGGACTGATGTACGGTGAGTACTCCACATAATAGGGAGCTTTTGCAATACCGTCTTTCAGATACCGTGACCGTATCTGAATTATTCATATACATTCACTATGGATCTGAACGATTGAGATACGGTTACCGTATCTGAAAGACGGTATTGCAAAAACTCCCTAATGTATAAAAAAAAGCACGCAGCAGGAACTGCTGGGAATTAAGTTGATTATTTGTGTTAATGCATTCTCAGGTTTTATCATCTCTGTTGCGTGTAAAAATCACACTATGGCGCATTACTGTTCGGCCGGAAGTTTTTTCCCGTTAATAATACTCAACGGTGAGTCTCTATTCTTTGTTTCGCAAAAATTACTTTTTACTCCAATATAGTGTTGCTACACTGAGAAAAAAAAATCGTAGATTCAAAGAAATATTATTTGATTCAACTAAATGCAGCGGTCACGGGCTGTCAAGCAAACATTTGTTAATTCAAAAAATATTATATTTAAATAGATTCAGAATTTCTTGATATTACTCACGTATATTTGATTTAAATATATTAATATTTGCATTAAACAAATCACTACAACTAAACGAGTTTAGTCAAATTTACAACATTTTTTTCTCAGTGTAAGTGATACCGTTATTGAATGGATTATCTCTGAATTTTAATTCTTTTATCACATAACGATATATTACATTGTTAATAATAATCTTAGAAAATGCTTGTTAAAATTAACATCAAATATATATATATATTAGAATTAGATGATTAGATATATTATATATATATATATATATATATTATATACACGAGGCATTCCATGCCAAATCGACTTGGGTTTAACCCTCGACCTCTCGGATTTGGTCGGCGATTTTTTATATTATTGTTCCAACTCTAAAATGCACTCAGAATTTTTTTTAGATTCTTTTTTATAAAATTAATTTAGTTATAATTTTTTAAACCGACATATTGATTGCCACAATTTAAAAATCTGAAAAAATTCTCAAAAATCCTGTATTAGATATAAAAATTTTCAAGCCTTGACCCAAAGTAAGCCGGCGTTCGCTTCTAATTTTTTCGAGCTTTTTTCGAGTTTTTTTCGAAAAAGATATTGAAAAAATTAGAAGCAGACGTCAGTCCATTGTAGGCTGTTACTTGAACATTTTTATATATAACACAGAATTTTTGAGAATTTTTCCAGATTTTTCCGACACGATTTTTTTTATTTTGAAAAATTTCTCAAAAATCCTGTGTTGTATATTCTATGTATATATCTAGAGGAGGATTATCTTACGTTAATCAAATTTTTATTAATATATTAATTTGACAAAATTATAGGAGCCTTGTGGCCATTGGAAGGAATGCCAAAAATGCTTCGCTGGTTGAGCTACGCATTACCAACTACATTGTCTTCCGTATCTCTGAGAGGACTTATCTATAAAGGATCTTCCATAACTGATTCGGAAGTTTACTTTGGCTTCTTAATAACTTTAGGATGGATATTGTTGTATCTCATCGTGACCTTACTTGGTGTAAGATCGAAATCTTCGTGATATTATTTAGAAACGTAGAAGGAATTTCTTTTGATACAATACAAAAACAGTCTCGCATAATCTATAGAATTTAGTTAGATTTAAATATGCAGAGTGTCTCTCCAAAACACTAATTTATGTACAAAAAATATATATAATTATTTTATTCATTTAAATGGCTATGTGAGAAATTAATTGCTGCAAAGGAATAAATTTCCTAATAATAATAATTTCATTTTTTAATTAATCGTAATTGTAAATTAATTTTTTTAATTCTATTTTAAATCAATAATTATATTATTTTATTATACAGTATAAAAATAATATAAAACTAATTAATTATTTATGTATGATAGCAGTATTAAATGTTTTCGAAAAATAACGATAAGTATTTTTGACAGAAAATATTATATAATCTCAGTATTATATTCATAATCACAAATATACATTAAATTTTAGTAAAGTACTTAATTGTATTATTTATATTGATAAAATAAAAGAGTGTATAATAAAATTTAAAAAATAATTATATAGTTGATTTTAATATATTTATAATTATACATTTAAGTTTAAAATTAAAAAAGTGCTATATAATATACATAATAATAATTAACTTAAAAGCTGAGGAAAGAGGAAGGAAACGAATGGAAGAAGGAACTAAATACAAACACGGCGGTTCGTTAAATATGTTTCTCCGTTGACAACATATTAATCTTACATGTATAAATATACATAGTGTTTCCTATATACAAACATATACAGCATGCCATACACTTCACTATACTTGTTTCACACTCGTAATTATATTACTTACGGTATAATTATATCTTTATATAATATAATTATATATGATAACATAATCGTGATGCATAATTTTGACGATTATTATCGCGACGATATAAATATAATAATTATGATCAAGTACTTACATCACAAATTTGTTATCATAATTGAGCTACACAATTATAATATATAATTCTGTTATTATTAATTTTACAGCTATTATAGTTACGTCATTTTTTAATTATGATACAGAATTACGGCAACACACGACGATTAATGTTTATATATATAGTTATTATTAATAACTATTTTCTTGTTTAAACTCGTAATCCGTTTTATATCTTCTACCTTTCAATCTTTTCCTTTTTTTATCTTTAAATCTCTTTGAAATTTTGACCATTTTTATTTTGAAAAGCTCGCGTCTAGAAAGGAATAGACGACTAGCCTAATAGCCGTATTAGTAACTATTAAATTTATTATTTCTCTAATAACTTGCGTTCAGAAATCTATAAAAAAATAGATAGCCAGTCTATATAATAGAATAATAATTTATATTTAATAGAATAATACTTTGATAAGCGTTCTCTTTTATTCTGGGAAGCTGATGTTCACACACATTTATAAAAATATATAGTTAATTTAATAGCGGAATTAGATGTAGGAATGATCGTGATATGGATTCCGCATGTTCTGGTAACTTTCAGCGCTCTCGTTGTCGTTGTTGTTGTTGTTGTTGTTGCTGTTGCTACCGTTGTCGCTAGCAGCCATGCTAGTGTCCTGATTAAAATCATTAGTAGCTCGATTAGAGTTTATAGCAGAAAGAAGCAGCCGGGGGCCACAGGCTCGGATTGGATGAGTAGCAACGAGACAGTCAACTATCTGTCTTATAGTAGGCATGCAGGTTTTGCCATATCCTGGAAAACACACATCACATGCTCCATCAGAACTGAAAAAATGCATAACTGCCGACCCGACTACCGTCACGTCGTCTTGGGTTTTTAAGCTTTAAATTTAAGATTATATTAGAATTAATAATCGATATTCAAAATTTATCTCAAGAGATCGGATGAAAAGTTCGGAGTAAAGTTTTATTTTATTTTTTGTAACGCGAATGCAACGAAATATTCGTATTTTAAAATTTTAGTTATCGTGTAAAAACATTTCTGGCATCAATAATCGCGAATAATTTGAAAAATCGCAGAACGTGAGAACATTTCGCAACACCGAGAGCGAAAACTTTCGAAACATTTTATATATATGCATACAACCCAAAAAGACGGATGTACGTCTGGTTGTTGTAACGAATACGCACAGACGATTATCCGAACTCGGATGTAGGGTGTAGGAAAAACGAACAGGATTAAAGTTATGTCGCATGCATTTTTAAATCGCGAGCAAACGGGCAAACGCTATGCAGAGGTAAGTACGATGGACAGGGAGAAGTCACAAAGTCGTAAGCTACAAAAAAAGAAAAGAATCATGACAAAGTTTAAGCATTAAAATAATGGAAAGTTTATCTCTTTTAACCGTCGCTACAAGCATGGCTAACGATTAACTTTAACACAATCGTGTGATTTAGGGCTTATCGTCCTATTATAGTCTTCTGGATATTTCTGACGATAGTAGAAATGAGAAAAGATCTAAAAAAAAAAGGTCGAAAGAGCTTATCGCTGATGGCTTCGCTACCTGGATTCCTAAGCATTCCTGAGAAGCAGGTAATCGAAATGAGATCGGGCCCAAAAGGAATTCGTTAGGTCCAAAGGATCAAAGAGACTCATTGTAGATGGCTTTACTTTAGCCCTTACTCGGATCTCTTCCTTCAAAAGTGTTACTTGTTGCGGGAATCGAAATCAGGGTCCGAAAGGGATTAAAGGTACTCCTTGTCGGTGTGATTCCGCTTTAACATTTAAAGGCATTCTTGGTGTGCTAATTAAAAATGGGGATTATTTGTCGTGGGACTCGTTGAACATATTTCTCAAGCGATAAAGATGCGCAACATCACATGCAGTAAAAGGAAACAGAGCTCAAAGGGTTTCTCACAAAGTCATCGGGTATAAATTAGTAAACGTTAGCATTCCAAAAACACCTACTCGGCGTTAATGTAGTCTTGGGGTCTATAAAGAGTTACAAAACATCGTTCTAACATCAAGCGAGCCACGGAGAAAAGGAGCATGTAGCGCTGTAATACTAACGACCTGTACGCAATTAAAGTTAAAAAAGTATGCTAAATACGCTCCCAAACGCGCACGCGAAATACTCTTCTTCGTTAGAGATTCGCAGTTAATACTTAGCATATGCATGCACAGATAAATAAACATACAAAATGAGTAAAAAATTAAAAAATGCATACTTATTAATAATTGCGGCATAATACAAATTCTTCCTCAATCTTTTTGGCACATCTCGCTACTTGTCGCTTATAAAATGTCCCGAAGAAACGTGGAAATCGATACAGGAAATATTTTTTGAGTTTGAAATTCGTTTCTCGACAAAAATGTCGGCGCGTTACGTTTGAAATATCTTTTTAACTTTCAATGTTGTCAGTAACAATTAAACCATGTCCATTGAAGTATTAAATTAAGCTTGACAGTATCACGCTCGTTAAATATACCTTAGAACTTGGATCAGTGATTAAATTCTACGCCTGGAAGAGCATTCGAGAAAACATACGGAAGAACATCTGGAAGAGTTTACCTGAGAGAAGCAATATGTCCAAAAAATAATAACTTCTTCACATTTTTCGGGACGCTCTGTATAAATCCAGAGTGAAGCGCTATTCTTAAATCGATGTATCGCTTTGTCACTTAGAGCTAATAATTGTTCTGTGCAGTATTGACTGTAATATTACTAAGATTGTCTTGTTGTATCATATGCAACTCTTGCGTAAATCATCCAACAATTTCCCGATCGTCTATCGGGAATAACAATTTCTTCCGTTGGTCCAGCCTATCGATACCGAGCTATCGATTTAAAGTCGTATTTTTATAATAATAACACAACTATCACAATAATTATGTAATACTGTAACGGCGCAGGTATTTATGTATGTAAAGCCGAGGTGTCGACATTATATAGTAAAATTACGCTTCGTCTATATAATTTTTATAACGATTAATGTGACATATATTCTTTCGTTAAATTAATTATTAAATATATTTTATATATTAAGTAATTATTAAATCTTTCTTGTTAATCATCAATAAATTTTAGCAATATACCAATCAGTTAATATCTGTTTTGCAGTTCTGCATAATGTGTCACACAAATGCGTACATTAAATTATATTTAAACAATTATACAGGGTGTCTCAGAATTATACATATAAATTTAATCCCTGATATCCCGTATAATATATTTAAATATAATTACATATTATCTCGTTATAAAAGATTTATCGGCTTTTATCAAAGTAGCTGTACGTGCGCGGAAATACTTGTGTCCAAAAACCGATGAAGCTTCCGTAACAATTAAATCCATCTATTAATATATATTTCTAAAGTTCTATATCGCGCGCGCCCTGTATATATTTTGGGTTCTAAGCCACTACGGAAAAATTTCGCACATTCTTCTCGATTACTTACTTAGGTACTTATTCGGTTTACATAAATTCCACGAAAGAATTCTCTTCTCTCTATAAAGATTTTTGTCACACGTTATTGTTATATGTTATTCAGTGCTCTTCGTTCGCACATATCGTATTTCATGTAATTTCTAATGTCCCAGCTGCGTAAAATACTTCAGCTTCCTTTCTTCACATAATCAAATCACTTACGAATACTCGGCCAATTCTGATTATAAGGCAGTCTCCTTCTCGCTGATAATCTTGATTCCGTGCTGCGTGAGAATCATCTTCACTTCCTCCTTGTCTCGGATGTTTTGTTTCTGAGCCGAGTCTTCAGCTTCATTTTCCTTTCCCAGATTTTCCGTCTGCGAATTCAGATTGTCGGTCGACTTGTTCAGGCGTTCAGACTTGTCCACATCATCGGTCGATCTCTGCAGAGATTTTGATCTTTTCGAGTCTCCTCTCGATATCCGTAGATTATCAGCAGACCCAAGCGTTGTTGTATTGTTCGCGACCTTGAGCACGTTATCACTCGCCTTCGAGGCCATCTTCGCCAGTTGGAGACTGTCCACCGAAGAGTATCGTCTCTTATCTCGCGCACTTCCGCCGGAATCCTCCTTTTTTCTGAACAAGGAGCCTTTGCGGTTGACCTTCCTGGCTCCGCTCGTCAAGATCGCGATTTCGTCCTTGGGTATGAAGTACAACTCCCGCGGCTGATCCTTGTTCATCGAAGAGCCGTGAATGAACAGGGACTGCGATTTCGATTTTCCGGGATCCTTGACTCTCTCTTTATCGGAGATCCTGCTTCGATCGTCCGCCGATTCCGTACCGCTCTGAAAACCGCAGTTCTCAATCTCGAAGCTGTCGTCGTCGTATCGGTGCGGCTCTATCATCTTGTAGGTGTATCTATCCGCCGGTAACGCGGAATCCTGATCGAAACTGCCGTCCACCTCGCCGCAGATCTTGCAGAGCTCGCAGGGAATCTCCTGAATTTTGCCGTCAAGATCGTCGGCGGACTCCTGTAGGTTAAGCGATCCGCAAATGTCGCACTCGATGGAATCGTCGTCGTCGTCGGCCAGCGAGCTGCAGGCCGATCTGAGCGTGTAGAACGTCTCCTGATTCGGGCTGCTCACTTCCTCCTCCGTCCGGAAGGTGATCTCGTTCATGTAACAGCAGATCGAGCAGAACTCGTCCGGAATGTCGAGCTGCGAGCCACTGCTGTTCGCCTTCGTCGGCGGCACGCCCAGAAACACCTCCTGGATGCGCTTGATCGACTCGTAGCTCTTCGACTTCTTCGAGAACGCGTCGTCCTTCTTCGGCTTCTGCGCGGACGTTTCTTCGGACACGATCATCGAGTCCAAGCTGCCCTGAAGAGGCACGTTGTAACGTCGCACCTTCCGCGTGTACACGTCCTTAATGTCGTTGAAGTCGCACTTCGTTTTGTTTTCGTCGTTTTTCGCCGTCTTTATAGCTTCCTGCGCCTTGTTGTCGTTCAGTTTCACAGCCTTCGAAGTTTGAGTCTTCTTCGGGCTCTTCATGGAAGACGTTTTCGAGGAATGCTGAGAGAGCTCTTCGGTGCGCGACGTCTCTCGATTATCGGCAAATCGATTTTGCTTCTTCATTTCGACGTGGCTCGCGGGATCTTTTTTGGGACTTTCCATTTTCGCTGAAGACTTCTTTGAAGAATCCAGAAAGATTTCCTCCAGTTGAGAGATAACGCGATCGTTGACGGATCGATCGTAATCTTTCGCATCGTCGGTTTTGTAAACGATTTGGCTTTTCTTTTTGGGGCTTTTTGTAGACATTTTCGAAGACTTTTGAGATGACTTCCTGGATCGAGGCATCTCACGATCACTAATAGATTTATCATGATCCTTTGGTTCGCTTTCGTCGGTTTGAAGCTCCTCGACTTTTCTGGAACTCCTCGTCTTCGCGGAGGATGATCTCGAAGGAGGACCTTGGAAGACTTTTTCCGCACGGAACACCTCTCGGTCCTTGACAATTTGACTTTTCTCCTCGATATCTTTCTCATCACAAGTCTGGTCTTCCTTGACTCTTTCGGCGCTCCTCGTGGAAGAACTTTGGAGCGCTTCAGATTGAAGCACCTGTGGATCGTCGGTGAATCGATGTTGCTCCTTGACCTCGACGTCGCTTGACTGACCTTCCCTGATCTTCCTCGGACTTTTGCGGGAGTTCACGATCGATTTCAGATACTTGCCGTCTATCTCGAGACTCGAATCGCAAGATGCCGTCCGTTTTTCCGAGGAACATGTATCCAACTCTGATTCTTTCTCCGTTCCGCTCGTCTTGTCAGGCTCTCGCGACATCCTAAATATTTCTTCTGTCCGTTCTCCGCCTTCGAGATTATTATCCTTATCGCCTACTTCTGCCACTGAAAGTGATTCTTCCACGACATACTTCAATTGATACGCTTCTTCGAAAGACTTTGCGCGATTATCATCGACTTCCTCAGTTGTGAAGGAATCTTTTCGACTCTTAGGAATCGTCGAATCGATCGATACTTGATCACTATATGATTGAGTGTCGCTCTTTCTGACGCTACTCTCGCGATCATTCACAGAATCAGCTATGCTATCTGTCACATCTTCTATTTGGCCGTCAGCGTATTTCGTTAAATTCAATCTGGCAGTATATACAGGCTTCCTCTTTCCTTCTTCATCCTCGTCGGAACCATATTGGCTAAGATAGTCTTCCTTGTCTACGCTGAAATCGGAGAGGGCACATTCGTGGCGACCGTCCAATGACGTCATTGAGATGTTTAGCGACGAAGTTATCGCCCTGACTTCTAGATACTCAGTTCTATCCGATTCGAAATCGGCTGTCTCTTTTCTGGAGTCGACTTCGACATTACTCTTCGTATCTCCCTTTGCACTAGGTTCAGTTAGTTCTGTATCTTTACCTACCTTATCTAGCTGTGAAATTTCTTTAAACTTATTCTTATCCTCGTCAAGCTTCATTTTAAGCTCGTTCGTAAGTTTTTCTATCATTAATCTACGGTCGTCCTTTATGAGTATGCCATGACTGGAATGAACAGGCTGAACCTTAACAACATTGGTAAACTCGTCAACTATTTCTTTGTCGCTAACGTCAACTTTTCCTTCGGCACTTTTTACCCTGGGGCTCTTTTCCGACCCAATTCTGCTTAAACTAGACCGATCCGGACCTGCCTCATCGTCATTGATCGCTTCTACCGTAGACCTACGTGTTTCTTTCAGCGCGTTCTTATCATCTAAACCTAACTCTACATCGATTATTTTCTTCTGAGAAACGCTTTTTCTATCGCGAGCTTGAACTTCATCATTCACAGCGTCTTCTCTTTTCGGCCAGCAACATTCTCCTAATCGAAGCTCGCCGGAACTCGACTCGCTAGGTTGAATCTTCATTAATTCGCGATCATTCGAATCTAAATCTACATCAGCAACTTCCATCTTAGATCTCAAATCTAAGGCCTCTTTCTGTCCAATCTCAGTTTTACCCTTTACCGCATTTTTCATTATCGACCTAGAACATTCTTTTGACAAGAGTTCAGCGGAACTCGGCTGACCAGGTTGAACTCTCGTGATTATCTCGTTCGTGCCTAAATCCACATCAACAATTTCCATATCCCCCGCGATAGCGTCTACCGTCGACCTACGATCCTCACTCGACACCAATTCGCTAGGGCTCGAAGACACAGGTTGAATTTTTACTATTATCTCATGATCATCGTTCGAACCTAAGTCCACGTCAATGATTTCCGTCGCGGATCCGAAATTGGAGACCTCTCTCTGTCCAGTACTAGCTTTACGCGCGGCACTGTCTATCGATCTACGATCGTCTTCTGACGAAGGACCGGGCCGGGACCTCGCCAACGGGTCGTCAACCGCACCTACCTCGTCTACGATTCGCGCGACGCCGGTCGCGCTGGCGATGATCTGTTTCGCCTGACCGGGATACGCGGCTCTAGACACGTGCTTGACGTTGCCGTTGTCGGCGTTGCTGCTGATCACGCTAACGATATGCTCGCGAATCTCGTCGAGCCCACCACCGCCCGCGGCGTTCTGCAGGTTTTTGCGTAGCACCACCGCGTCCGGCACGTCAATACACGCGGCGATCTCGACCGGGCTCGGCGTGCCCATGGTCACATCGCTGGGCGACGGCGTTAGGAATGCGCTTAGGTATCGGGGATCTATGTGCAGATAATTGTTCGCATTCGGCGACGGCAGTTCCAACTTACTTCGGTGTCCAATCGGCAGCGGCAGCGTGAAAAACACGACGTTTCTTTTATAGAACATCATACCATCTCCCTCATTCCGTCACATTTTCGCACAACAGAATTTTAGTCGCGTGGGCTCGTCACCACGTTCACTCATACGCAGTTAAGAATTATTAGATAACTGCATATGAAATTTGCAAATTTCATTTTTCGACTGTTTTTCTGCGGCAATAAAAACATATATGCAGCTAAAAAGTTCGATAGCGTTTTTTGAGACTTTCTGAATCCAGCGTTTCATATGCAACAATTTAACAATAATTAACTATACGTGAGCTTCAGAGTTTAATTCCGATTCCAGTTTCACTCATATATTTGTAACTTTGTTCTTTGCATCCTTCGGTAAATGGAATATATGAGACTAAATGGGGTTGCGGTCCCACGCGACTAGCAAAGAGAATAATGGTGACAAAAGTGTCCTCGCAATTCAATTCACTGACTATATTAATTATTTCACCATTGAAATCTGACTCTAGAATTAATCGAGCAATTTTATTCATTCTCGTCTTCATTGTTAACAATAAAATAATGAAATTAAATATTATTTTAATAATTATAATCACAATAATTTTATTATCATTGTTCTTGTCAGTGAATAAAATTATTTAAAGTATTGATCTTAAATTAATTTAATTGTGATATTATATAAACTCTCGGCAAACACTGTAAATTCTTTCTTAAAAAAAAAATTATTCTAAATTATAATTGTTATATTATAATTAATATTATTATTAATATTGAAACAATAAAAAACTGATTTTAATCAAAACAATTTATATATAAAGCTTTACTTACTATATTTCACTATTAATTATAACAATATTTTTTATATTATTGAATTTAAAATTTTTCGTGTCTGCTGAGAGTTGGGTATATATTTCTGATGCTGCTTAAAACCTATAAAGAATAATCTTGTATGGAAAAATAGTGTTAAGAAAACAGTAAATGAAATACAATTGTCTATAACATTTATTAAACATTAATTAAAATAAAAAATTGATATTAAATGCACATTTATATGTCCTTAAACTAATTACATTAAACAGAAAAAAGACAATTCTTTACAAAATATCATACATCTAAAATAATTTAATAATCAACAGAAATAGTACAATAAATAGAACATAATTAAAATATAATGACTCAGTTATTTTCCGGACATTAAGAATTTGGTTCTACAGTTGAAGTAAAAATAAAAAACACAATATTTTTCTAAATATTCAATCGCACGTTACAGAGATCGAACATCATTTGAAAGCAAAATCGACAACGTGCAATTAAACACTTATTTAAAAAAAATACGTGTCTCTTTTATTTTGATCTATTACATGTCTAGAGCTCATAAAAATTGAAGGAAGATATTTGAGGTATGTTTCCTTGTAAATATTGTATTCGACGGAAGACAGGCAGGAAGACCAAAGTACGAAATATCGCCGTACATCGTATAAATTCCGTCAAAATATTAAACGCAGCAATGATCGCAAGACGTTCCTTTTAAGTATCTCATCTTTGTACATACAATACTCGCGAACTATCAATATATATATACTTATAAGAAGATAAAGATCAATGTTGCTACAGATGCACAATTAATAATTAATCGGAAATTGGTCCCAAATAAAAACCAATGACATGTTGCTAATATCTGTTAACGTCAATGATCAACTAATAAATTAAAATTAGATAATATAATTTTCCGAGTACAGTTTGGTTCGGTATTTACTTAAAAGTTTTATATTCACTTTTAAATATTCTCTGATTGAATTTTCTATATCTTTTTCCAAATTTTTACAAGCTTACTTTTATTACATACACATTTAACTTTGTATTTTCATTTTGCGTCTGCAATTGGGACCAGATTGTCATTGGATTATCATCATTATATATAATGATATATTTTTATATGAAAGTAAATATGCCATTATAAAAGTTAAGTATATTCTTTATAAAGTGTATAAAAATTAATAGCAATATGATATCTACAACGAGTCTGTCATTATTCATTAAAATATCACAAAAATACGTCATAATCATAAATTTTTTAAAATTTCTTTCTCTCGAAGCTTCGTATCACTGCAGCTATATTGAATTATGACATGAAAACGAAATCATCATTTCTTTTATGGCATTTCTACCAACTCTAGCTTTCCTTTAGATTTGTTTAGTACATAAAACCTATAGTAAATAACAGTTTGTAAAAGAATAATTTTTTGGCACGTCATAATCTAATATATTAGCAATCGCGGACGAGTACTCGCATTGTGTTACTCGAATAATCAAGCAACGATCAATTTTATTAAAATTTAATTTCCGCGGTAACTCTATCCTTTCTCATTACGATCGAGCTCTCGTGTCGTTTATTTTCGGCTTCCCTATTGTTTATCAATTTCCCCTTTTGCGCCGCTTTTCCGTCATATTTGCCACATGACTGTGCACAAGAAAAGCGAGCCTTTTAAACGTGAGGTAATCGGAAAGCGACGCAAGAGGAGGATTTCTTATTTGCCTGATCTAGCAGCGATCGCCGCAATTTCTCGCGCAAAATTTACAAATCTTAAGCTTAAATCTATATGGCTCCAGACACATCTAAATTGCTCTCGTCATTTTAATCCTCTACTGTTCAACTACAACTTTCAAATCGTATATCTTTTTATTTCGCATGTCAAGTATATGGAAAAATCATCTCTAAACCTTTTTGTACCTTCGGAATAATCCAGATCTCTTATTTGTATCATTTAATTTTACATTTCAAGCGCATTTCAAATCCATTAAATTTAAACGATAGAGGATTAATGAGCTAATAGACTAAACAGAAAAAAGCTCAACTATCGCCATTATAAAAGAATGCGTCTAAACATAAGATTCGAAACTCACATTGTCGTGTCCGGCAATCTCACGTCGTAGATCTCGTGCTTGTAGATGTAATCGATAACAGAGTCCTGCAGCAGGTACCTAACGCTTTCGCCGCGCTTCAAAGCTCGTCTGATTCTCGTTGAGCTAACTTCGTTCGGGATCCATTCGGTCACGATGCAAATGTTGTTCTGGAAAATAAGAAGAAAGAAAACCAAATTTTTCAGCAATTCAAGGGTGCATATAAAAATTAGTATTGTTAGTATTTTTTACGACTCCAAGAATCACAGATTGTCTGTGAGATTAAAGTGAAATTAAATTTGCAAATAAAATTTAATTAAATTCATGTAGTTATTTATTTAAATTAATACAGTTTATTTCAGTTAATATTCTCAGATTCCTGCGTCTATTTCAGATACATAAAACAACAACATAAATATAACTCAATAAGAAAAAGGAGTGGAGAATTCTCAACATTTTATTGTACTTACCATATGCTTGGAGAGGATGTCAGAATCATAAATGAACTTGTTGGGATTAGAACCCTCTCTGGTGATGACCACAAGACCATGCTCGCCGACAATCGCGTCGATCTGTAAAGTGTAAGTAATATCAACTGTCTTTTATTTCGTCATTTTAAGCGTCGTCTACTATGGCAGCAGGAGTATGCAGTAAGACGTAAGCAGTAAGTTATTAACTAATGGGATTTTTACAATTCAAGAATAATCGACTGTGGTTGGTCAATAGCTTACTGCTTACGTCTTACTGCATACTCCTGCTGTCATTGTAGACTACGCTTTACAGCTCTGTTTGATAATTACAAAATACGAGAGTTTATCTCAAAGCTGCAAGCATGAACAGAAAATGCAAGAATCATTCAGAATTTTATTAGAAGGGAACAAAGTTCCCACGTATTCTTATCTGAAGTGGTCATCTGCGATGTACTCTACATATGCAACTCACATCTTCTTCCAGCCAAAGTCCACAAATGCCGAAGCTCTCCAGAAGGTCCGCGCCGCACAGCAATTTGATCTGTATCGGCGTATTGTCCGAGCTGTTTTTCACATTCTCCGGAATCCAGTCGGTGTCTTCTATCTGCAGGTGGTGCTTGATATCATTGGAATTGGATAGCATGGAGTTGAGCAGATTTTGATGATGCTGCAAGCACATGCGGGTCTTTGTCCAACAATTCTGCCTCGTCTCCCATGTGCTCAGCCGAATCCAGTCGCTATTCTGCAACGCCAGTCGCAGCAACGCGCATCTGTGGGTAGCGCTGGCCAGCTCTTTCTTGGCGTACGCATCGTGCACCGGGGAGATCACTCCGCCGACGACAACGTGCGTTCCCATTCGGTGCAGATGGTCTCGTGCAATTTCTGAAAAGCAGAATTATTCGTAAAAAATCTATAATTACTAATTAAAATTAAAAATTTATTGAATTACATTCAAACATTATGATTGGGCGATCTATAATTAAACATTAAACGGAAAGGAACGGAGAATTGAGAAAAAATATACAAAAGGAAGGTAAAAAAAAAAAGCTTTCTTATCGTGCAAACATGATAAACAAGCTGCACGCATGGCGCAGCGGACGTGTGACATCATGCGTGATAACGCAACGTGACGCGACAGTATTTACCGTTCTATGGGAACGGGGGTGAGAGGATGACAGCAAATCGATATGTACGTACCGAACATCCGCAGGTGCATATTTGTCGGCGGGTTATAACTGCCGCACGACATCAGGATTACACGCGTGGGCGCCATTTTGCGCGCTCGAAACTCGTTGCCGCATCGACGACCGACCGCACCTCCTCCGTCGGCGTCAAATCGACCCGACGCCGCGCTGCCGCTGAATAACGACGACGACGACGACGCGCACGTCGCGAAGTTGCGTAACCTACTGACCGCGTTTAGGAACGAATCGCGCGCCGATCGCCGCCATGTTATCTCAAGCATCGCCGACCAATAGGAAGCTCTCACGGTTTCGTTCGCGCGCCACCTGGCGCGAATCAGCTAGTAGCAAGGATGCATTATGCAAAACTCATACCGCGCACACGACGTCTAATGTCCAATAGGAGGACTCGCTTCCTAGGGATGAAAATCTCGTTAGTTGAAGTCCCTAGAAAATACGCATTTCTATTGGATACCGAAATGCGTTCACTTACGGGTGAAAAAAGGGTTGCGCTTCTTCTCGATTTCTTTCGGAACGCAGACATCTGATTCGTTTTCTAGTTGTCCTCGATTGGGAGACGATCTGATCCAATTGGCGTCATTAATGCTTCCTAGCCCTACCTTAAATGCTTCTTTGTCGAACGAATCGTATCTGAATATACGCATTATGACTCATCCAAAATGTAACGCAAATCAATGTATTTGAGATATTAAAATTAAATTATTCAGAACGTAACATGACTTTTTAAAATAATGGTCCACATTCATTTCTCCGATTAATTCTCACGGAAGAACGATCCAAAATTAAAATTTTAACTCGAAATTCTTTTTAAAGAAATATGACGACGGAAAATAAGATTGAAAGGATAAATCATCCAACGAGGAAATTATTTGCAATGTCGATAGCTTAAAATGTTATTTAAGTCCTCATATAAACATTGAATTTTCGAGGTTAAATAAATTTGTTTTATAAATTGGAACATTGTCGATTTTCGTTTTCAATACATCGAACAAGCAATGTGTTAAAGAAATTGACATTAACCTTACCTGATATTTGAAGTCATTCCTGTTATTCCTTGATGGCTGAATGGTTATACGCTTTAAAACTTCATGAATTCCTTCGTCATGCATCTACTGCGTTGTTTCAAGAACAGTTGATGTGGTTTTGTTTAAGTCATTCATATTTTTTTTATAATAATAGTCTATGTACATTTTGCAAAACATTATCTTCACATTTATTTAACTTACCAGTTCATTAATTTCAATAAATGTCGTATTGCGACATTTCATAAATTTTCAGTGTATGTGAATCTATAATATTCTTATTTCATTTTCGATTAATTTTTTACTTTACTGCGTGATGCATATTTATTTGATTGCCAAAGTATAATTAATGATTGTACCAAATGGAACGCAATATGAAAGAATTTTCAATAACACGTAGTACAACGCAATATGAATTTTACAATTTTTCATAAAATTACTGAAATTTAATCGCGCACGTTTCGCGAAGAACTGAAGCATACTTTTGAAGAATCACATCAACGTTCCCGATCGGAATTACACAATTTCACAAATAAATAGTTTAATATATTCCAAATTAACGCGTTTATTTTAAAAGAGTTTCATAAAACTCGGAACTTTTCGCGCGACATTTTATATACGACAATCGAACAATTAATTCTTTTCGAATAATTTCTAACATTTGACGAATCTTGTTACTATCCGCTATACACGCTTTCCTTATTCTACGGTGTTGATAAGAGGGACTGGTTCAGTAATACACAAATCTAACTTTATTCACATTTTTTTTGTCATTTTTTTCCGCTGAATCATCGAGAAAATGATCTTGAGAGAACAGAAACCTCTGCGATACGAATAGCAATTACAGGTAAATATGTACAATAATATATAATAAGTGATGGTTGCCCTTCCTTCTCTTCGTCCTCCTCATCAACAGTCGTCTCACCTCGCTCAACGACAATCAACCAATCAGTATTTTAACCGTAATAAATCGCGCCAGACTCAATCTAATCCTTCCCACGCATCCATTCCCCCGCCTTAAGCATTAATTACCGTCGATCATCGAATATCGCGACAGTAATCGACGAATTGACAGAAATGCTTTCCCTAATTCGTAGTCGTCAACCTTCAAATCGTCAACCGGACTTTCCTCATTTCGGAATCATCGCGCAAAAACTCGCACAATCATTTTCAATCGCGATGCAAAATGTTCAAACATTCGTTTAAGAGAATATCTCCTCTTTTGTTTTCATCAATTTTATTTCTTTCCCGTTTAGATTGTATTATCTCTAGTGATCGGAATGTGTAAACATTTTGCATCGCTCTCGATGTTCGTCTCATCATCTTTAACTTTATGTATTGCGACCGTTGCGTTGCACTTGATGATTTTGCTTCGCTTCATTTAGCCTCCTCCGTTTTTTTCTTTTTCGTAAAATTCAAAATGTCTTCTTTCTCACTCTCTCTCTCTCTTTCTCTTTCTCGCAGGTCTTAGATATATCTCATCATCGTACATTCACACACTCACATTCGTTTAAATAGTACTTTATAACGTTATATTCATCTGTTTCTTTCAAATCTCTCTCTTTGTATCTCCTTGCCTTTCTTCCACTTTCATTCTCTCATTCATTCTTTCAATCGACTCCGATCGCGATTCGCGTAAAGTGAAGTGAGTTATTTGTGTTTCTCCCTCGAATATTCAGAATTTTGTTTCCTTATACTTGTAAAAGTAAGGCTAGGCTAAATTAAGTTACTTGAATTTGATTAAAGTTTCAACTAAATTATAAAATGATAGGTATGTGTCTGCTGAGTTGTTCAAAATACGCGATTGACTTTTATTACGGATTATATTACGCATTTAAATGTGCTTGCAGGAATTTGTTGTCTTCAATATTTTATAATTATTTTCTCTAAATCCATTTTCATTTTATTTTTTCGATACACAACCAATTTTATTTCTCCATAAAATCCTTCGATCAAGTAACCTTTTTATCAAGAGATTAAAGAACAAAAATATTTTAATTATTTTGAAGCCGATTGCACAATTATCCCACTTCACCCTACTCCGAACAAGTGATGGACACACTCTGAGATGCAAACTTTCGAGTTTGTAAACAAGCACACTCGACAAGTATCACTGGACGACATGACACTGTTAAAACTGTCATTAATCCGAGCTAAGGAAAATAACCGACGAGTATATAGTTAGCCCAAACCACAGTTACTTCAGTTACTTCACTTCAATCCTACTTATTACAATTCGTCTCGCTTTTTTTATTTTATTTTTTTTTTTTAACTTTTGCTCTGTTGCTAGCTTGCTTATTAAAGTGATTTCGTCGTCGATTTATTTACTTCTCTGTTTTGGATCGTGTATATTAACAATATGCCCGCCGACTTTTGCGCACAACTACGAAGGCCCTGGATCTCCAAGCCCTGAGATACCTCCATCGCGCGTTTTATACTCTAAATCTCCATGGCTCCTATATTCTCGATATTCTTTTGGACTACTCCTTAGAGTACTGAAACACACCCTCACTCGGAATCCACACTTTTGGATTCTTGAGAAAGCTATCTTTGAAGCTTTGAGAATTCCTTTATAGGCTAATCCACGGATTTCCGAGTTCCCTTTTAGATCCCCGACAACTCTCCCTATCATCCTATTCTGCATTCACGGCTCTCGGATTCTTGAAGGTCTCAAAAAGAAATCGAAATCGAAACCTATGGAGGTTTCTTTCGGATTATTTGGACCATCAAGTTCCTCGATTGTCGAGTCATAAAGTTTTTAAATCCAGGAGTCTCAATTCTTTACATTCTTAAGATCATAGGTTTTTTTAATCCTTGATTAAAAAAAAAAAACAATCTTAGATTCTGGATGAAATCCGAACTTTGCAAGGAAGTAATCATTGGTTATGTATCTTCTTTTGCGCTGGAGATCCTTGGATCCTTCTATCATCAAAGTCTGGAAAGCCTTTGAATCTCGAGAATCGGTATAGTCGCTACGCAAAACTCGACGGGACTTTGCAACATCAAGCGTGTCTCTCGCTAGCGAGGACACACTCGCCACCATTATTATCTCCTCCTCCTTTCGTTTATCACCCTCCATTATTATCATCGCCCTCTTACTATTATCCCTCTCCTCGACTTTTCGCCTTTATCGCGTCTATTTGCTCGAAGATCATCCTCCCGTCTCATCTTTGTATTGTATATGTTTTAACACATGGAGAGAATGAGAGATTGGGTGAGAACCCTCATCTTCTCGCGCGTAAGACTCGCGTGGCTCAACAACGACCGAGAAAAGGACCGCACTTTTCGTCTGAAGGAGTTTTGCCACGCAAAATTCGCATTCCTCATCCCACTCTCTCGTCCTTCCTCTCTCACCTTTTTCTCTTTCTATTTTCCTGTATCTCCTCGCACCTCGCTTCTCTTTAAGCTATAGCTCCTAACTTACTTTGTGTATTCGTTATCCATTCTTTTATAAAGACATCACTTCAACATTACAGAGCGCAACTATTGCGCCCAAAAATGTTGATACACTGATAGCTCTCTCTTTAATTCTCCCTAACTTATATGTAATCTTTTAGTCCATCTTTTGCGCGTACATCACTTTCAGATGTAACACTTCAGAGTATTACATATATAAACACTCAATTATATAAGTATTATATAACCACCGCTCTCGAAAAAGTTGAGACACCAATAGCTTATCGTTACAAGTGACTGAAAATGAGCTTTTCGAATACTCAACTTTGAAGGTGCTAATAAATGTTGAAACCTTGCACAGAGTTTTCTACCGTTGACAGCTCTTGAAGGGTGCCCAAAAAACAAGGGAACACCTTGAAGGAGGACGATCTTCGAGATGCGACTAAGCCGATCTCGGCCTACAGGACTTATAAAAAAAAAAAGATCCGTCGTCACACTCGCTTCTTCAGTGTATATCCTCCGTCTTTCTTTAATCATCTAAACAAGTAAAGCGACAAAACGTCGAACGATGAAAAAGGTGTCCCCAAGTGACACTCCAAAAAGGATCTTCTAATCAAAAATTAAATTCAAATGTAATTCTCACAATCCCGAAGTAAAATTGGAATTTAATTCGAGATCTCGTATTAATCGAGATTAAATTCGAATTTAATTCGTATATGTTATCGGAATTAAATTCACATTCAACTCGAGACCGTGTTAATCGGGATTAAATCCTAATTAAACTGTCGAGTTAAAAGTAAAAAA